GAGGCAGCAAAATTTTTGGTCGAATCAAATTTGAATCAAGATACACTGGCAACGATATGGTAGTAGTTCTTTTTTTGTTTAGTATTTCTAAAAAAAAAATTTTTTTTTTTTGTAAATAATATATTTACGTTTGTGCTTTTTTTTTAGGAGCCTTTCTGATATAGATAAAACTGGATGTCTTAATCGTGAAAAATTTGCTGTCACTATGTATTTGATCCAAAAAACGTTAAATGGATTTCCATTACCAACCACTTTGCCAACAAGTCTTATTCCACCATCAATGCGTCATATTACTGGTAAAATCTTCCTAAATAAAAATCAACTAAATAAAATCGTCTTTAACATTTATTTATATATATATAATGTAAGTGTATCAATCTAAATTTTTAGACAATCAATACAAAGCAGCTAGTCATTTTTTTGATTTAGAAGAATCTTCGACTCTTGGTCATATTTCAAAAAAAAACAATGGGTCAACTTCATCATCGATCTCATATTATTCAACAGAAAACTTTTTTGATTTAAATGATCCCATAGACTCGCAAAATAATTTTATTTCAGATAGTCGTGTTATTAAAGGTATATTATAAATATTTAAATTTGTTATAATTATCATTATAATATTCATATAAAATTTTAATAAAAAGTATTTTGATTTTTTTGGGGGGAATGATTCACAGAACCACAAATGATTGATTTTTTTGGCGACTCTGATTTACATACTAAAATTGCAAGTGAAAGTAGTGAAATAAAAAGTTATGGAACCCAAATTAATATTCTTGGCAATTCAAGTGATGAACTAGAAAACAAAAAAGCCAGTTTAAATTCAACTCTTGCTGATTTAGTAATACAAAAACAAGAAATAAAAGATCTTTTCTTACAAACACGCTCTTTGTATGAAGCTGAATTTAAGGCAGTAGAAGAAATTCAAATCCAATATCAATTGGAAAATGAAAATTTTGAGAGAGTTAAAGAAGAGCATGCACAAGCTAAAAGAGCTTTAGCTGCTATAAGATTGCAAAAGGAACAATTAGAAGAAAATATTCAAAAAGATAAAGATGAAATAAATGAATTGAGAAAGGAATTGAGAATAATCGAAGAAGAAACAGTATCAATTAACGCCAAAGTTAAAGACTTTCAAAAAGACAGTGCACAACAAAAAGGTTTACTTATGATTAATAAAAAACAATTGGAAACCTCCAAAGCTGAAAGAGAAAAGTCATTGGAGGTCTTAAAAACTTTTGAAAAAAGTAACAATCTACCTGATATAAACAAGGATGCTTTCGTTTCTACACCATTAACGACAACGTCATCAAATCATAATTCCTTTAATGTTTCTCAATCAATGTTTAATGAACCAGGAAAAAGTTCAGCTGATTTTTTTAATGGGCAAGGCGAAAATAAACTCCAACCAACTCACATTAAAAATAGCACAACTTCGACCATCGATCCATTTGATTTTGACAATTTTAAAAATGCAACATCAGACAAATCAGGTCTTGATTCTGCGTTCGCAACGCTTGAAGTTACAAATAAGAATAATGGTGATGATTCATTCTTAACTGACACCTTTAATTCCGAGAAATTTCCTTCTTTAGAGGAACTTGAAGGTTTAACACCTGGTAATAATTTTAATTTTGAAAAAGAAAACAAGACAAATCATTTTGACACAACCAAGCCAGATGAAAAGATTACTTCTCCATATATGAATGAAGATAAAGTCGAAAATACACTTAAAAACAAGCCAATTGATTTATTAAAAGGATTGATGAAACCTTCGACTAATACCAAAGATGCTCGTTCATCAGAAAATTTCGATTCTATTTTTACCAATAATTATAACAATAACAATAACAATAACAATAACAATAATGATAATTATAATTATAATACATTTAACACATCATCATCATCATCAACATTTAATACGTCGTCATCATCATCATCATCAAGAACATTTAATACATCGTCATCATCATCATCATCAACATTTGGTTTATTTGGCTCAGATAATGATATTTCATTTTTTGATCCTTTAGCTTCAAAGAATATTAATAAACCAATAAATACGAATAATGCAATTTTTGATTCTGCATTCGGAAGTACTTTTGAAAATGCATTTTTTCAAGGAAATTTCAAATCTCCTATACCTACTGCCACCACCATTAATAATGATAATGACGATGATATAGATTATGTAAAAACTTTAAAAGAGATGGGTTTTCCAAGAGAAAATGCTATAAAAGCACTTGAAGATAATGATTATGACTTGAACAAAGCAATATTTGCTTTATCTAACGTTTAAATCAGAGCCATTGTATTGAAATTTTAATTTTCAAATTAATAAATTTGTAATGTATATTTTATTTAATAGCATCAAAATTTTCCCTTTTAATTTTACAATCAACTTTGGTTTTCCGCCAATTTTTTGGGGCACAGATAATACTAAGGTATCATCCCTCAGTCGAAGTAATAATAGAAATAGTATTAAATAGATGGAAGTAGATGTTATTTATTGTTTATTATCAAAATCCAATTAATGAATAACCCGATTAAAATTGTTGGCCAGAAATTGATTGCATGATTACATGGCTTCGGATATTTCGGAAATTTTAATATTTGGCGAAGTTAGTTTCAGATTTGGGATTGGGAAAAATAGTTGTATTTCTCCCGAAACCTTAGCTCCTGAACCTATTCGAATATTATTTTGAATGCTCATTTTCGAATATAATTATTTCAAATACTTTCAAATTATAAAGAAAAAAATTATTTCATAATAATTTCGAAATGAATTCAACATATTAATATGATCGACATGGTCAAATTTTGTTCACGTGATTCACGTAAGTAGACCATGAGAAGTTCATTCATTTTATAAAAATAAAAACTAAAGTTTTCATAAAATTTAAACTTCCTTGGGCGTTATTACGAACATTCGTGTCTTCGCTTTGTAATAGTCTCAAAAAAGTTGCTCGTTATGGGTTCATTCAACCAAAACTGGATACCATTTAATCAAACTTTTCCTGTAAATAATATGTATGGCTATAAAGTCGAGGTTTAGTTACTATATATGCCTTTAAAACCTTATTTTTTTTTATATAGAATTTAAAATATTGAAAATCTTTGGACAATTATTATTATTATAATGATAATCTCCAGTTATTTATAGGGATGGGAATGGTTCGGTTTATAAACCGCCAGTTTGGCTAGTGAACCGCACCGACTGGCGGTTTACCACTGCGGTTTGAACCGCGGTTCAAACCCAAGTTTAACCGCAGTTTTATAATTTTATTGGTAGGGATGGGAATGGTGCGGTTTGGTTCAGTTTAGTTTATAAACTGCCAGTTTGACTAGTGATTGACAGTTTACTGATCACGGTTTTATAATTTTATTGGCCAAGTTAAATTTAAGAATTTTATTTTTATAATTTTATTGATCAAGTTAAATTTAAGAATTTTATTTTTATAATAAAATGAAAAAAATTATTTTTTTAAAAAAAACAAATTAATTTGTTCCAATAATCAAACCACTTTTAAACATCATTACTATCTTCTTCATCAGAAAGTTCATATTCTTGACCAAATTTTTCAGAAGTCCAGCTTTTTAAGCATAACAAACCTCGTGATGTCATTCATCATTGATATAGTGACAAGTAACCCCAAGAAATGATGTGTGAGAATTTTCAGATGTCCAAATATCCAATGTTAATGATATTTTATTTTTTACATTTTGAATATGGTTTTTAACATGTTGTTGTTGTTTCGTGAATTTTTTGACAATTTGTATTTACGACATGGCATTTGGTAAGGTGGATCAAATTTCTTAATCATTTCTATAAAAAAATTATCCTCTACAATAGAAAAAGGTTGCATATTCATAATTATCCAATTGATCATAACTTTAGTTTTCATAAAATTTTCTTTGGGGGATATGGGTTAATTCGTTGAAAATTTAAAGTTGTTTGAACACATCTTTGATATTCATTTGGATGTTTGGTTTTGATGTGATTTTTTAAAGTACCAGTTGAAGTTTTCCCAATTCCACTATATGTAGCTGCACAAACACGACACTTCTGAATTTCATTATTTCTTGTAAAATATTCATCTACTTTTGAAGCAGTTCTAATTATTTGTGAATTATTAGGAATTTGAACAATTGATGATGATGATGATGACAATGATGATGATGATGATGAAATGGAAGGTACAAGCATAATGTCATGTATTTGAATTGAATTATTGATATCAGGAATTTGGATGATTGATAAACTATTATTAGTATCATTATCAAAAATTTGAATGATTGAAGTAGGTGAAAGTGCAGCATTATCAATTCTTTCGTCAATTGACATTCCTGCAAAAAAAATATTTTATAAGGAATATATTGGTGGTACATTCTAAAAAAAAAATTAAAAAAACGTAGTTAATTTTTATTGGTCAGGACCACTGAACTGGGGTGTAACCGCGGTTTGAAATGTGTAAACCAAACCGCGTCGGTTCGGTTTCGAACCGCCGGTTGAACCAGTTTGGGTTGAACCGTTCCCATCCCTAGTTATTTATCACTGACAGGACTAGCCGCGTAACCTAAATGAGCATTTGGCTAAACTGGCTAAACTATTTAGTCATTCATATGTTAAGTCAAGACAATTATTGCCAAATTAGGACTTTAACATCTTTACGCAACCAGCCCTGGTGACATGAATTTTGTTATTATGGTTAAAAAATATTTTTTGGTCGTGACACTGGCCCCTAATCCTTAAATTCACGCGCGTGAAATCCTTTCTTCATATTCATAAACAGAATATCAGATATTCGTTATTTGCTAGGTAAATCGAAAAGAAGATATCCCCCTTTTTTTTTTTAAGCAAACAGAGTCTAATATTTTCACCGATTGTAGATTAATATATACTACATAAATTTGAGACAGAGGAGGTTTTGTTGAACACTGTCCCAAATGACACGCCAAAATAATTATATAGACAATTCTGGAAAAATGGTTGTTAAGCCAAATATGCTCTTTGAAATGAGATATATAAGAATGCGTTAACAATAATGACTTTCCAAATAACGAAATAAAATTTAAATTTAATTAATGATGATAATGTTATTATAACAACGATAATAACATAACTAACTGATAATATAGATAATTTATATGCTACAATGATTAACCTCATTATTATTATTATTATTATTATTATTATTATTATTATTATTATTATTATTACTACTACTATTATTATTATCATTATTATTATTATTATTACTATTACTATTATTATTATTATTATTATTATTATTATTATTATTATTATTATTATTATTATTATTATTACTACTACTACTATTATTATTATTATTATTATTATTTAAAGTGCTATCATTAACTATCTCAACATATTTTGGTAAACTAAGCCCATCGTACGGAGGTAATTCATCGTTGACTATTGTATGACCATTATTTATAATAACCATGTCACTATTATTATGACCATAATCACCTTCTACATTATTATTGCTCTCGTTATCATTGTGATCGTCATTACTGCTTCTTAACCTGAGGATTAATCTATAGTTCCAATAAACTATCTCAAACAATATTATGACCGAGACCATTACAAGAACCCAAATAAGTAATATAGGATTATTATTACTTTCGTTTGATGATGATGATGATGATGGTATTTCTGTTGGTAAGGCGTTAACGTTATCGATTGATATAATAATCAATATTATGACAATAACATTAAAAGTTGAAGTAAAAAACCAATTCCAACTTGATTTTTTGAGAAAACTTTTTTTTGAATCCTTCATTGTAATCTTTGATTTTGTTAAATTTGTTAAAATCATATTGAATAATTAATGATGGTGATAAGATGATGGTGATGGTGATGATGGTAGACCGTGTCCGTTTTTTCTCTTTTTTGTATTATTAAAATATGATAACTAATGAATGTTGTTTTTTTTGGTTGAATTTTGCCTTTTGGTTTTTCTTCCTTCTATGGATGAACGAATGCTTTGATTTATTATTATTAACTAACACACACTAAAATATACTAAAGTATAAATATTTTTGTGAAAGAAAAAAAACCAAGTAGCAAAACCACCAAAAGAAAAGTAAATAAAAATTGATTTTTTGGTAAGAAAAGTTTAAATTTAAAGCTATTTGATTTTTTTTCCGTTAATTTATAAGAATTATTATGAATGAATGGATGAATGAATGATATAATTAGTCAACTATCCGTACTTTCATTGACAGTCTCTGAAATTGGACTAGATTATTTGATTTAATTTTGTCAGGGAATTTCATATGAAATGTATGATCTAGAAATTATATATATGTGATAGAATTTTCTATCTCGAGACAGCGAGCGTAAAAAAATTCATTTCCATTCACGTTTCCATGATGAAATGACGCTCGGTATAATGGGAGAACCAATCAGATAATAAGTTCTTTAATACCGGAAATTTTCTCTGAAATGGATAGAAATGATCGTCGCAAAAATAATATTACGGAAAATATAATTTGCCAGCTTATTTCATTTAATTAGAATGGATAAGAAGGGAAAAAGTCCATCATTTGTTTGACTATTCGTAGTAAATTAAAAGATATGGTAATACTAAACTATTAGATAATGAGGATATTAATATTGATTCATTGAACGACAACAACAACTTCAGTAGTAGTAATAGAAATAGTATTAATAATAATAAACTGTTAATAACAACAATAATAGTAATGACAATGATTAAAACAGTACTATTACAATTACTGCTGCTACCGCTATCTGATGATGATGATGATGATGATATCATTATCAATAATAATTATAGTGAGACATTAGACAGTAGTAGCAATAACGATATTAATATTAGTGAAAATAATAATTAATAATCAACTAATTGAAGCAAGATTTTGCTGCCAGTTTTGATGAAAGGCAAAATAAAAAATTATTTAATGATAAAAAAATAGATTTATTCTTTTAGGCTTGTAAATTTTGATTAAAATTATCACAATACCAAGTTCCTTTACCTCGTAATTCTTGGCTTACTTTTTGCTATGGTGAGATATAACTTTCTTTCTTTATTTAAAAGTATCACGAAACTGGAGAATTATCTGGTCCCTTCCCTATTGAATTTAACTTTTGTGTCCAAATTCAATCAAAATTAAGGCTATATCATGATCACATTACATTGGTAGTACAACGTCGTGTTCGACTAATTTTTTAAATATTGATTTCCTGAAATTTTGTACGTTCCATATAAAAAATTCAAAATCATGAAAAATTCATCAGATATTTCTAATTCAAGATGTATGCAAGGAATTACACTTATTCAAGCTGAAAAACGTACATATAGAGTTTCTAGTTCTTCTATAGTATCTATTGACACAATAAACAAAGAAAATTCTGGTGAGTTACTATCATTATTTCTTATTATTTTATCTTTTTATTTTTTCAAAAAAAATTTTTAATTAATTAATCAATTCATTCATTCATTATTTAAAAATTTAGATACAAAAAGTAGTTATTCAAAAAATCATAATAAAAGTAATGAAAATTTAGTTTCCAATGACAGCAAATTTGTTAAAAGCATTGATCCAAATATACAACAAATCCATGAAAAAAATGTATCAAATGATCAAATAACAACATTAAAACTTAAAATACCATCAAAAATGTATGGACATATAATTGGTAATTTTGATAATAATAATAAATGATCCTTATAATTATTATTGTTATCCTTGATAACTTTGCAATTATATAAAATAGGCAGAGGAGGTGCAACATTGAAACAAATAGAATCTGATACAAATACTAGAATAAAAATTATAAATGGTGAAGATGTAGTATGTATGTAAATATATATTTATATTTTTTATGCTTTTATTTTTTTTTTTTTGGAGGAACAAAAAATAAAAATATCTTTTGGTGTTTAAAATTTCAGCAATTACAGGTTCAAATGAAAACATTGAGAAATCTAAAAAAAGAATCTATGAAATAATTAGATCAGTATGATATGACATTACATTTATATATATATAAAGTTAAAACTTATTTCCACTTAATAAACAATATTAACTGTTCATGTTTCCTATAATTATATATAATAATAGGTTGTTCCAAGATCACCTCCAACACATTTTTTATCTTTACCACTTGATACTGATCGAAATTTGCAACAAAAGATATCCAATTTTCAATCAGATGTTCTCTCACTTTCCATACCCAAGATTGATCCCACCATACTTATAAATCCATCTTCATTTCATTTGACCCTTGGGATGTTAAGTTTGTATATTGAAGAAGATATTAAAGGTGCCGTGCAATTGTTAAAAAGTTTGTCTACTGAAGTTAATGATTTAGTTGGATCAAGAATACCAGTTGTAAAATTATCTGGTTTGGATATAATGGATGAAGATTCTAGTAAGAGAGATAGATAATCCTATAATTCTACAAACATTTATATTTACATTTATATCTATATTTAATAATAAACAAAATTTAAATTTACTACTAGCAAAAACAAATGTTTTATATGCAAAAGTTGAAGAATTGGGAGAAAAAAAGATTTTAACAAAATTAGCTGGTATAACTTTTATACATACATTTATCTATCTATCTATTTATTATCACATATTTATTTTTTTTTCTTTAAAAAATTTACTGATCTATAGAATTTTTGAATGAAAAATTTTCTGAAGCTGGATATTTAAAAAAAACTGATAGACCATTAAAGGTATTATTTACTTGCTTAAAATTTTAATTTATCACCAACAACTTTAAACGCTAACAATGATACAAACATTGTTGTATTTATTTTTTTGATTATTTTTTTTTAGCTTCATGCCACTTTGATTAATACAAGTCATCGTAAAATTAAAGGATCGTATAAAAATTATGAACGAATTCCATTTTCAGCTGTTCAAATTCTAAATAAATTCCCCAATATCGATTTTGGAACATGCAGAATTGAGAATATTCATATATCAAAAATTGGAGAACATGATGAAAACGGAAGACATAAAAGTGAAGGAAAAATTAAAATCAAATAACAATACTATCAATAACAATTTAATTTTGGTATAATGTACATTATATCATCCGGAGAGGGGGGGTTAAATTATTAAACATAAATGTGCAATGGTTGAATCAATACCCTTGTTGCTTTGTTGCATCAAAAAAGGGAAACATTATAAATTTACTGGTCGTGTGACATGTTGTACTTGATCTTCTATATTAAAAAAATAAGTAAAACGAAATTTCTCCATTAAAGCTTTCCGATGAATATCTTTTCATATGGAAAGGTCTTTTCTATGTAAATCCATGACTATTCAAAAATGGCAATGCTTTTTCGCTTCAAGGCTGAGATAATTTTTTCAATGTCGCTTTAAAAGACTTGATAGTGGCTGAGAAGGTGTAAAATACTCTAAGCCTTCATATGGTCATGAGTACTAGTTAATAAGTTTAGAGAGATTCACAAAAAAACGGGTTTATAAATGCTTTAATATGTCAATAATGAACCAATTATATTGAAGACAGTAATGGTAATACGGGATTTTTACATCTCTTTGACTTATTCATTTAATTATTTATTAAAGGAAAAGAGAATTTTGATTTTTTAGAATGATTTTAGTATATTTTACGACGCTTGCAAAGCAAGCGTCGTAAATCTTGTCTTTAACATTTACTTCCATCAAACCGCCCGCCGCCTATCATGCAACTATTGAATAATTGATAAAACGTTCATCAAGTATATTGTACAAGGCTTGCTTTGGAAGCTTCGTACATCTTGTCTTTAACACTTACTTTGCCTATATAACTATTGAATAATTGATAAATGTTCATAAGTATAATATTTTTTTATTATATTTAAAGATTATACATTATAAAAAACCAAAGTTTGTTGTTATACTCACTTCATTCATTCCTCCTCTCATTAATTCCGGTAATTATGTAGAGGAATCATACAAATAATTCATTGCCCCGACCCTTGAATTCGGATACAAAACCAATGCATTTTTTTTTTGCGATTTTTTGGTCATGAATTTTGATCTCCGAATGAATATACATGCAAGTGTTTGGATTGAGTCGTGTGATTTTATAATGTTATGACATCAAAGAATTATCATCGCACTATAGTTTTACGGTTTATGATGAATTAAAATCAATTAGAAAAGAGATTAAGAAAATGGATGAAATAAAATTTGATCCTTCAACAATTACTGCAACAATTCATCCAAATGCAGTTTATATTAGCAGATTATTAAAATTCACAAATCTTCTCCAACCTGTGAATTCAGTAATGTACTTTATCAATAAATCATAATATCTTAAAATCTTAAATTTATAATCAAATAAAAAAATTTATACATATATTAATTATCAAATAAAAAAGCCATATCTAGTCCATTTTGACTTACTTGTTGAACCACTATTGCAGCCAACTTCCAGAAGGGGTTCACCATCTTCCAGATTTGGTTGTCTTAATGATCCTTCCTCTTCGTTTGTTATTCGAATTGTTTATTCGAACCATTCATTTATTCATTTTATTAGAACTATTCGTTTATTCATTTTATTATTCGAATTGTTATTATCGTTTATTCGAGCTATTCATTTATTCATTAGAACTATTCATTTATTCGTTTTATTATTCGAATTGTTATCATTCGTTATTCGAATTGTTATCATCCGTTATTCGAATCGCTATCATTCGTTATTCGAATTGTTATTATTCGGTTATTATTTGAATTCGGTTATTATTCGATTGTTGTCATTCGTTTATTCGAATATTCGCTATTCGTTTTATTCGAATTATTCAAATTACTTGTACTTGTTTTAATCGAATTAATCGAATTAATCATTTTATTCGGAACTCCGTTTATTCGTTTATTCAAACTATCTGTTTTGTTTGAATTATTCGTTTTATTCGAACTATTGTTTATTCGTTTTGTTTGAAATATTCGAATTATTCGTTTATTCGTTATATTTGTTTATTCGAACTATTCGAATTATTTGAATTATTACTACACATTTAGCAGATACTAATTAAAAATCTTGGTTTTACGGATAACAGTTCCATAATAAATCTTAATAAAAACCTTCTCGATATAGCAGATATCTCAGTTTAACAGATTTTTGGAAAATTTTCCCTAATTGCCCAAACTATGTATTCGAGTTTATTTGTTTTATTTAAATTATCGATTGAATTATTTATTTTATTTGTTTATTGAATTATTATTCGTTCATTTGATTTATTTGAATTATCAAATTATCAAATTATTCATTATTCATTTTATTCAAATAAACCTTCAATGTAATTTGATCATAGCAAGTAAATCAAATGATTCGAATGAACCTTATTCGAATAGAAACCCTAATACTAATCAAGCGGTATAGTGATTTTAATTTAGTTTTCCAGATTTTGTGACTTCAATAACTCAGATCACACGCTTGCAATATTTAATACAGTTTCACGGTTTATGGCTTTAACGGCTTTAGGGTGCATGCCGAATTTATTTGCGTAATTGTAAATTTGATTTTTTAGCAGAAAATCTAACATATTTGTGGCTGAAAAAAAAAGTTCTTTAGAAGAAATTTTTTTAGATAAATATAATAACAAAAAACCACAATGGAAAACACTTTGGATGAAAATAAACATCATGATGATACTTCTACCGACATAAATGATGGATATTCTTGTGAAAGAAAGGAATATTATGGGGAATGTCCAACCTGTAATAGATGTAATACTCATTATTTATGGTGTCAATCATGTGATCCAAAATTATTAACTGAAGGATGGACTAGTGGCAATAAAATATTAGATGAATCGATCAAAAGTATACAACTTAAAGCAATAAGATATGATAATGATTATTATCTTCAATGGATTCCTTATAATGATTTAACAAATATTGAAAAGATAGGTGAAAGTGGATTTGCAACTATATCCAAAGCTACTTGGTTAAATGGTAGTAAAACTCTAAATTATGATAATAAAAAAACTACCAAAGATAGGACTGTGGCATTAAAAAAACTACATAATTCACAGAATATTTCTGATGAATTTCTTAATGAGGTAAATTATTTTATTTTTTTATTTATTTTCAGATTTTAAATATTATTCTGGAATTCAATGTATTTTTTTTTATATAGTTTAGAAATTATGTTGCATTTCATGGTTTTTTATTTATATATAAAATTTATGGATTAACACAAGATCCAGCTACAAAAGAATATATCTTTGTAATGGAATACATGAAAAATAGAAGTCTTCAAGATTATGAAGATCTATATAAAAGATATGTAGCATATGGGGAATGTCCAACCTGCAATAGATATAATACTAATGATTCATGGTGTCAATCATGTGATCCAAAGCTATTAACTGAAGGATGGACAAGTGGCAATGAAACATTAGATAAATTGATTAAAAGTACACAACTTAAAGCAACTCATTATGGTAATCATTATGGTAATTATGGTTATCTTCAATGGATTCCTTATAATGATTTAACAAATATTGAAAAGATTGGTGAAGGTGGGTTTGCAACTATATCCAAGGCTACTTGGTTAAATGGTGATAAATATGCAACTAGTAAAAAAAGAACTATCAAAGATATGCCTGTGGCATTAAAAAAACTACATGATTCACAGAATATTTCTGATGAATTTCTTAATGAGGTAAATTATTTTCTATTTTTATTTATTTTCAGGTTTTTTAAATATTATTGATTATTATTGTTGTAATTAAATATTTTATTGTTATTTTAGTTCAAAAATTATGTGAAGTTATATGATAAAAGTAATATAATTCCTATTTATGGATTAACACAAGATCCAATTACAGAAGAGTATATATTTGTAATGAGATATATGAAAGATGGAAGTCTTCAAAATTATTTAACTAAAGATTTTAAAAATTTAAAATGGAATGATAAAACTCAAATTCTTAGAGATATTATTAAAGGGTTAAAAGCTATTCATGAAAAAGAAATTATTCATCATGATTTTCATAGTGGTAATATTCTTCAACATAAAATATATGCATATATTGCAGACTTAGGATTATCATGTCCAGCTAGTCAAACATTATCATCAAACAAACATGATATATATGGAGTATTACCATATATTGCACCAGAAGTTTTAAAAGAGAAACCATATACAATGGCATCAGATATATACAGTTTTGGAGTTCTGATGTCTGTAGTATCAACTGGCCAACAACCATTTAATAATTTAGCACATGATGAATATCTTGCAATGAAAATATGCAAAGGTGCAAGACCAGGATTCTCAAACAATACACCAAAATTCTATATTGAACTAGCATTAAAATGCATGGATGCTAATCCAGATAAACGTCCAACTGCTGGAGAAACTTATGAGATTATTAAACTTTGGGATGATTCATTTAATGTTATTATAATGGATTATCCTGAAGATTACGGATATTCAAACAAACAGCATGATGAATTAAAATCAGTTAGAAATGAGTTTTATAAAATGGGTGAAATAAAATTTGATCCTTCAACAATTACTGCAACAATTCATCCAAATGCAGTTTATACTAGCAGATTATTAAATTTTACAAACCTTCCCCAACCTGTGAATTCCAATAAAGTAACAATTATTGGTAATAATAATGGTAATTATTAATATTCAATCATTGATTTTTTTCATTTTTATTAATTTAAAATTAATTTTTGTGATAAATATTTTGTAGATTCTAAACAATTTGATTTAGCTATACCAGATGACTTACCTGAATAAGTTAAATCCTGTCATTTTATTACATATCAATTATTTATTATTTATTTTTATTTTTATCTGGCTACTATAGTTGTGATATTAAATATCTTGAGAATGATATTATATAATAAACAGATTGATTTAGTTATACCAGAGATGACTTACTTGAATAAGTTAAATCTTGTCACTTTATTACTCAAATTAGTTATTATTTATTTTTATTTATCTGGCTACTATAGTTGTGATATTAAATATCTTGAGTAATGAATGAATGATATTATATAATAACTTCTTTGGA